TCACAGCAGTCCAAGTTGGTCTGGGCTTAAAGAGACCTTAGAGTTCATCGCGTCTCATCCCCTGCCATGGCCAGGGACACCTTCCACTGTCCCAGGGTGCTCCAAGCGCCATTCAGCCTGGCCTTGAATACTTCCAGGGATTGGGGCTGCCACCCCCTGAATCCCCCTGAATCCACCTCAAAATGCTTTTGGTGTAATAAATGATCTGTGTAGTTTTACTTTCACAAAGGCCCACAGTTGTCAGGGAGAGAGAAGTTCACGAACGACAGTGAGGTATTGCAATGAAAACTGATTTTCCCCTTCTCAGCAGTGTCTGCATGTTTTGTAGTTTTTTCCCCACTTCTAATCATCACTCAGTCACCCTGAAAAATGCAGCTCAGTCAGTCCCGCTTGAGGGATCTCAATGGATAGGTCAATCCACACAATAGTAGCTTTTAGATGTAGCTATTACTGCTTTTCGCTACAGACTGTCACTACACTCTTCAGAGGAATAATAAAAAGATTAACAGTTACCTGATACTTTAATAATCTACACTTCAGTGTTTTCTCTTTGCACAGATCCCTTGCTTTTGCATTTTTCAGAGACGTATTTTTGGGAGTCCTTCACACCACTGAGCAACACCAAGCTTCACATCTGTGGAGGAATTAATCCCAAAATAATATGTACAAAATAAATGTGTTTGCACTTTTGTATTGCTTGAAAGCATTTTCAGGTTGTGATTCAGGTGGAGGCTGCTCTGGATCCCTGGAAGTGTCCAAGGCTAGGTTGGACAGGGCTTGGAGCACCCTGGGACAGTGGAAAGTGTCCCTGGCCATGGCACGGGTGGGACTGGATGGGCTTTAAGATCCCTTCAAGCCAAATCATCCTGGGATTCTGTGATTTTTCCATCTCTTGTTCCCATCAGTAGTTTACGTGAGACATAGAGAGTACCTGCATGTCTAAGGCAAGATGAAGTGAGAGAGAGAGACAGTCTGCAGGGCCAGTTGCTTTGAGAGTATCACCTCAGATACAACTAGCAATGTAGTCCTCTATCATGATGTACTTGCTTGTCTGGACACACAAACCAACCTGAAAAGCTTTTATTCCACATGTTTAAGTAAATATTTCACTTCATCGTAGATGCAGTTATATCATTATGACTATTTCATTTTGTGTAATAGCAGTAAAATTGTAGGTGAGAGGAGTTGTCTAGAAACTGGGAAATCTGACATGGAGAAGATAGTTGTCTCATAAATCAGAGCTTTCCTTTTTCTAGCTAGATCTAGTTTAAGTGGTTCTGCACTATTTTCCTAGATGTGTAGTTACCTATTGCATTTTAAGTCCATTGAATGACCTTTAAATAACACCTGATACAACTCTTCAGTTTTGGAACTGTCTTTTGAATTGGAATTTTCCTATTACTTTGCTGCCTTTACCTAACATTTCACTACATTTTGTCCTTTACTGGCAATTTTAGGTAACAGTGGAAAAAGAGAGACTGTCAGAAGTAGAGATGAAAGAGGACAGGGATCACAGGTGGGCTGCTTCTATGGGATCTCATTAAGCAGCTAAATATGTACATTTCTCCCACAACTGTAACACTGCTGGTAGAGGTCTGCCAAAGGCTTTGAGTTTGCTTTTGTGATTGATTTGTGATGGTATAGCATTATGCTTAATGGACAAAAAAAATTATATGTGTATATATATAAATATCTATATGTAAAATATCTAAAAGCAGAACTTACAGAAAGTCTTCAATAACATGTATATCGTTGTAAAGTTACACAAAGCTAAAGCCTCCCCTGCAGAGTTTCAGTGCAGGCTGAAAATAAAGTAACATTAATTGATGTTTATGATCCAAATGCTGAGAAGAGCAAAAAGCAAAAGGAGAAGTTGGAAATGCCCAAAGCCAGCTAGGAATCCAAACGCACAGTTTGTATTAAACAAAAATGAATCTTAGGTTTTAGTCAGCTTTAAGTTTTAGGATAATGTGATGTTTTGATTCTGTCTATGTACCACTGAAAACAGTGCAGTGTAGGCAGTGGTCAGACATTCTAATGAGGCAGTTTAGACACTTTCCTGCCTGCCTAATCTGATAAACCTGTACCTAAGGTCACAGGACAGGTGGATTTGCTATGTCTGCTGTGAAGTAGTCATGAGGCAGCTCCTGCAGTGCAAGAGAAGCTGCCAGAAGCCCAGTGATCCTGTTTACTTACTTAAAACACTTGTTGTTATCTTTAAATGGCCATCATAGTTCAGCAGAATTTTCCAGATGACTTGGGATTCTTCATTTTATTGAAACAGGAAAATGCCAAGCCTAGAGACATGAAGATTGCTAGTTTAGTCATTAGCATACCACCTACTCTGTGTATTCTTTCCTTGGAAATAGCAAATTATTTCAGCCTGTAGGTTAATTCTCCCAAAAAGTCACCCTCAGTTAGCACAAAGCCTTGTCTTGAGTCAAATACAGTGGCACGTCCTGTTTGAACAAAAACGTTTGGCACTGGAATTAGCCGAACTCTGAAGAGCACTAGAAAAAAATAGTTCCTCAGCTGAGCAAAGTGTCATTAATAGTGAGGAGTACAAATATAGGAACAGATAAAGGGGTAGCCAGCAAAACTGACATCTACAAGTGGACACAGCAAAGCAGAGGCTGTTGCACCTGGAATCCAAACCCTTCAAGGATTAACCCCTCTCTGGAATCAAATAGGTAAATAATGTTATATTACCCACATGGAAATAAAACTTAGGTATGTAACTGCCAGCTTCTCATATATGAACATTCAGAACTTCCCCCAAAGAGTATGCTTATATTAAGAATTTAACTAATATTTATTAGTTATCTGAAGCTGCTCTTTGTTCTTTAGTCAACTAAAATGATGTCAGCTTCCTCCAGCTCCTCCTACAAAATGTTTTGCTCCATTTGTTAACACATTTTAGTGTACTGACATTTGGAAAATACATGTATCCCTTTACTCCTAATTCATAGATACAGATTTCTAGAGCCACTTCTGTAGTGGGTGAACAATGTGAAATGAAGGAGTGCTGCTGTGGGGCTGTTCCTGTTGTGTGAATTGACCCAAAGAGGTAACCAGGGGCTACCCTCAAACCACAGCTCAAATGCAAAGAGCAGATTTATTTCACTGTACAATTTATATTTCATTCTAGCTGACCTCTGATTCTTTCTACCCCACATTTCCAATACAGATTCCTGCTGAAGGTCTGTCATTCCCAGGAAGTCTTCACTGTTCTGCTGGGGCTCTGCTCTCACCAACACCTGAGTGTGCCTGTCCCCTGGCCCTGGGCAGGGCTGCTGCAGCAGTGGCACTGAACATGAGTGAGTGTGTCAGTGTGCCTGGGCCCTGGCCCTGGGCAGGGCTGCTGCAGCAGTGGCAGTGGACACCAGCTCCTGAACCCACATGGGTTCACTTTTGCTTTTGGAGGTTCTGAACCCTCCAGTCACAGCTGCAGCTAGGGAACCTGTGGCTGCTTGGTCCTTTTGTGGTTGAAACTTCTACCAACACACTAAAGAAAGGTGTGTGAAATGAACAGGGCTTATGCCTTTATTAATGTTCAGCTCTTTATTAAGAAGTTAGCTGGGCAGGGGGCTCAACACGGAGCTTGCCCCCACTATTGTAGCTTCTTCCAGCAGCCGAAGGGTGAGAAGGTGTGCAGAGTCTGTCCCTGGAGTCTCTGTGGCACACTGGTAGCTGGAGGTGAAGAGGTGTCCAGTCTGTATCTGCAGTCCCAATCAGCAGACCGTCCTCTCTCCTCCTGGCACACTGGTAGCTGAAGGGTGGGGGGATGTGCAGAGGCTGTTGCTGAAGTCCAGCAGCAGCTGTTCCCCCTCCTTCCCTCCTGGTAACACCAGGAAGAGCTGCTCTCTTGTTCCTGCTTCCCACAGTCCAGTCCAGTCCAGTCCTCTGGCGGCTATGGTGACAGGTCAGACATACACTAGGGATGTGGTTCCCTTTTCCCCAGCCAGCGCACCCAGCCCCCTCCACTGTGCCCAGCCTTCCATTTAGGGGTGTTTTCATCCCCAAAACCCCCTCCCATGATTCCACTGGTCCCTCTGTTTTGCATCCCAGTCCTAGAATGGCAGTGTGTGTGGGGTGTGTAGGTGATCCCCAGGAGCAATTAGCTAATTAACATTTCAATATCAGTATTAGCTCAAGCCAGCAGTGTCCCCGTATTGCCATGGGAACCAGGAAGGCCTTTTTGTTCATAACAGCGTGCAAAAGAGGATTTTAGACTCCACAATCTGTTCAGCCAAGGTACCTTAGTGGTTTTTCCCAAATGGTGTACCTGTATTTTCAAGTCCCATTTTTATTTCTTTTTTTTTTTTTTTTTTTTCCCCACAGACTTAAAATCACAGAACAGATCGGGTTGGATTTTAATTTTAAGGATACTTTGTTTCTAAGTAATTGGGAGGTATTTTAAATTAATCCCTAGCTTCATTAATGGAAAGGGTTTTTTTAAGAAGACATGCAGGGAAGTGATTGGAATAGATGAAAGCCCTTTTTTTTATCAGCTACTACTTAGTGCTTGAAATTGATTTTGAGATAAGATCTATTTTAAAGCTAGAATAAGATTTTGTATCATATTTTATTTGCATTTTTTATTTATCAAGTATTAAATCAACAAAATCTTTAGGTTTTACTTGATTATGTTTTTAGTTGATTATATTTTTAGTTGCTTACATTTGATTATATTTATATGAATTTTTGTTACAGTTTTGAGACAGTTAATTTATACTTGCTAAAAATACTTCCATGACATTCTGTGCTTTTACTGGGTAAGAAGAAATGGTTTATGCAGATAACAATGGAACATTTCTATAATTCTCTTGTCATGGCATTTCAAAATCAATCTATCAGTGTAATTAATCTCAATTCACAAAATTCTCTCTGTGGCTCTGTGTTTGGTGCATGTAGACACGCACAAATAAATACCTGTTTACTTGTTGCTAATAGGAAACGAGGTGAACAGGAAGAGCAGAGCTGGGAGAGTCAGTTATTAGAACATCAGGCTGGTGCGGCCTGTTTGCCTCAATCTCTTTAAAGGCCAAGCAGACGAAGGAAGCAGTTTAGGGATGATTATCTGCAGAGTCCCCGAGGCACTCCCCGCACAGTTTAGGTTAAGAAAAGATCGTTGCTGGCTCCTCCCAGATTACCATCCCCGATCCGATTAGCAACAGGAAACACCAGGGGAATTCATTCAGCTTCTCTGTAAAACGTGACTGCCCTACATCATGTTTCTTGTGGTTCATACTGCAGCAATGAAGGGATCAGCACTCACTCATTCATTTTGCAGGGTAACAGGTAAGGTGTTACACTGAAATTACTAAAACTATTAAAGCTCGTGTAAATTTGCTATCGTTTTGACTGTATTAGATGTAAAATCCTCTAACTTGCAGAGATAATTTTTGAACTTGCACTTGAGTGCTGTCAGAATGCTGACAATTACTGACAGTATTTCACTCTTCTGCGTGTAGTCACTGTGATGAGTCTGAGAGTCTCTTGGTAAACATGATGCTCATGATCAAGGGTCTCAGAGCCAGCATTTTTGTGTGTAGAACAGTTAATATATTCACTTTACGCCATCTCCTTGAAGAGTCTCTCTAGTAATTACTGCCTGCCAGCCTGTTCAAGGTAGTTTAAAATATCATCTGTTAACTATTAGGTTAGCACTGCCACAGAAAGAAGTGATTTAAATAACATGGCTCAAATCAATTGAGAGATTTGTCCATCAGTTTAGCTTGTAGTTTCTTGCTGTTTATGTCGAAAAATCTATGAACAGCAAAGACTGAATCACCAAACCAGCACCTACATAATCTTTTAATGAATTATATTGTCTCATTTGTACATGAAAGAGGTTAGAGTCCTTTGTAAATATCAAACTTGATGATAAAATGACATGAATCTTATACAAAGACAAATAGGGAATATTTTTTTTCCAAAGAGGGTAAAAGACAGGTAGAAATAACAAATCCTGTTCTGGTTTGTGGTTCCAGTATGAAACCCCTGGAATTTCACAGCAGCTGTAGTATCATCCTCCTGTGTAAATACTGTATAACTGAACTATATGAAAATTTGTTTATATTTTTACCTAGTCTTCTCTCCATCCTTTGTCCATGTGTTTATTTGCTTTTCTAGTGTTTTGGTGTTTGCTTACAGGTAGTAAACATTTCAAATTTCAAATAATTGAGCTTTTTAAAGCACTTTGAGAATTGATGTGTGTGCCTATTGAAAGATGTGTGCTCAGTGCTAAAACTGCCTTCCAGACCATGGTTAAATTGTAGATTAAGCATTCATGAAATATCTGTTCCCAGTGAGTTTTTTCACTGGTACAGGCATTAGAACAACAACCTTTGCATCTTGTTTCATTAATCATAATAATCAAGTTTAGCAAAACCCTCAGTTATCATCATTTTTTTACAAACCTTTAGAAATGCTTTGTTATTCCTGGCAATGTTAAAATTAGATAGTCTATGGTAATTTAAAACACAATTTCATTTACCAGTGCTTCCTGTACCAGTGACTAACCTTGTCTTAGCCAATTTAGAAGATTTTTTGCTAGAAACTCTCATGATCTGCCAACCTTAAAGCATCAGATTCAAAGCCTGAATTGAGAGACAAGGTTATAATTTAGTAGCTCTTAACCACTGTATTAAATATACCCAGTCCTCACTACACTATCCTATTTTTACTTAGTGTTAATCATCTAAGTTATCTTTAGTCATCTGCCTGAAACATCTCCATTAGCGCTGTTTACAGGATTTTGCATTTTGGCAGTGAAACTTTTTCCCATGTGATCTTATATTTAGACATTCTGTTGACTTCTGTGGGACTGCTCGCAAAAGCAAAGCTGCTCAAGTACTTGCAGAATTAGGCCACAGGAAATTTTAAAGTTGTCAGCCAAGTGCTTAGGTACTAAGCTATGCTGACCCCTACCTGCAGCAAGCTCACTATGTTCCTTTAAAAATTTGGCTGCTAGATATTTAGTTACACATGACTGCAACAGGGAGAGAACAAATTCACTTTAGAAGACAATAAAACAGTAAAAATAACCTCAGAATTTCATGTGACAGGCCTAAGCATCAGCATTGTCTCTATTGTATGAATCTGGTGGAGGTTTAAATGAAATTTTTCCCATGTATTGATATTTTAAATGGAAAACTTACTACATTTTTTGCATATTAACACATACAGGTAATCTTTTTAAGTATGTGGTCTGCTTTGGCATTCTTGTTTACCAAAGTCACAGGAATTCAAGACCTGGGCCCTCACTATTTGTGGATAGGTGCACAGGGACGCAGTGGGGACCCTTAAAATGGGATTACTGTCCATGCTGGCAGCTACATTGCCCTAACTGGAATCCTTCCAGCTGGGAATGCAAGCACTTCTCTCTGTTTGAAAACATATTCTGAAGTAAAAGGTAGCAATTGCATTTATTAAATAACCATCCTCATTGCCAAGACAGAGTGAGACCAGCATCTTCTTGTCTCCTCACTTTTTGACATATAATTGTTTTCAGGCTGCTGCAATAATGGACATTGCTTCTCTCGTTTTAGTCTGGAGCAAAAATTCAGCCCAGCCACTGGACATCACTGATTTCCAGATCTTGAAATACCAGAAAGGAATGGTTTTTTGTGACAAGGCAGAGTTGTTCATTTGCAAACCACAATGCTGGTTTGCTGGGTCTGTCCTGCAGGTGGCTCCTGAGAGCCAGTGAGGGATGCTGCCTGCGGAAGGTGGCCTTTGGAAGGAGCATGGAACTGCTCCGTGGGACCCCCGATGTCCCAGCTGCCCTGCTGCCTGTGTGCCACGCTGCTGCTCCCCTGTGACCTTACAAAGAGCAGGGACTATATTCCAGAGGAAATGGCCATGGGCAACAGGCTGCACTGCTGAGGAGAAGGTGGATGCCCAGAGCAACCTCATCCATGGTGGCACGACGTGTCCACACTGCATCCCCTGCAGGAAGTGCACCCCTGCACGTGTGCAGCAGCGAGTGGGCTGTGGCAGCTGTCATGTTTTCAAATGCAACATGTGAATCCAGTGCAACAGGAGACAGAAATCCGTTCTGGTAGAAATTGTTCATCTCAAAAGTGGGGGGAAAGAAAAGGCAACTCAAAACTGCATACAAACATCAAAGCACATATCAAACCCACACCTGGAGGGGAGCTCTTGAAATACCCAGAGTGTTTGGCATGAGAGTTCCAAGAAATTCCTCGGGCAGTGTGGTCCTGCTCTTGACTTCTGCCAGCTGACAGCACAGGCATATTTCCCAGTGTTTGGTGTCAGGAGCCGGGGTGTTCCTGCTCGCTGGATGGCACCACTGCCTGTGCTGGAACAGAGGTGGAAGTGCACCACAGAAAAACCGGACACTTACTCAGGGACCGGACAGAGACATGACTCCACCACAGGAGATAGCATTCCTCTCACTTGCTCAGGGAGCTGGGATTAAGGGGCGGCCTCTGTGCTGTCATGGCAATAGGGATGCACGGCAGAGATTGAGCAGCAGAGTTGATTAAGATGGTACCGTGATTGCCCCAAGGTACGGAACTTGGATCCTAAGGCAGCTCATGGCACCACGACCTAGAATAGCACTCCAGGCTGTGCCTTCCACAGCTATCGAGCTTTCATGATATGAGCAAAATGCTGAAGAATGTCTTTAAAAATCAAGAATATCTAGTACGGAGGCAAAGCAGGAGAGAGCTACTGCTTTAAACCTAAGCACTATTTTTACTTCTAGCACCCTTTTTATTGGTGCAGAAATGTAATGCCCCTCTGTGGGAACATCAGCACTGACCTAGAAAGTTTTTAGAGTGTGTGGAGGATAGTTTTTTGTAACAACTGGTGGGCAAGCCCACCAGGGGAGGGACTATGTTAGACTTGTTGTTCACAAATGGAAATGGACTGGTGGGTGATGTGGAGGTTGGAGGCCGCTTGGGGCACAGCGATCATGAAATTATAGAATTCTCGATAATTGGTGAAATAAGGAGGAATATCAATAAGATCTCTACACTGGACTTCTGGAGGGCAGACTTTGGCCTATTTAGGAGACTTATTCAGAGTTTCTTGGGAAAGAGCCCTTGAAAACAAAGGAGTCCAGGAGAGATGGGTGTGCTTCAAAGCAGAGATCTTGAGGAACAAACGAGGAACAAACTGTTCCTGCTTGCCGAAAGATGAGTCGAAGAGGCAAACGTCCAGTCTGGATGAGAAATGAGGTTTTGAAGGAACTTAGAAATAAAAAAAACCTGTATCATCTCTTTAAGGAGGGACTGATTTCTCAGGAAGTATTTAAGGGAGCTGCTAGGGCATGTAGGAAAAAAATTAGGGAGGCCAAAGCTCAGTTTGAACTGAACTTGGCAACTTCTGTTAAAAATAATAAAAAAAGTTTTTACAAATATATTAATGGTAAAAGGAAGGGTATAACCAGGCCCGGTTCTTTATTGTATGAGGGAGACAACCTAGTAACTAAAGATGAGGAAAAAGGCGGAAATGCTTAATGCCTTCTTTGCCTCAGTCTTTAGTGGTAAGGCAGCTTGTCCTCAAGACAGCTGTCCTCAGGGGTTGATAGGTGGTGCCAGGGAGCAGAATGGTCCTCTTGTTATCCAGGAGGAGACAGTTAGAGAACTACTGGGACACTTGGATATTTATAAATCAGTGGGACCAGATGGGATCCAGCCTAGGGTGATGAGGGAGCTGGCAGATGTGCTTGCGAAGTCGTTCTCCATCATTTATCAGGAGTCATGGCTCACTGGTGAGGTCCCAGATGACTGGAAACTGGCCAATGTGACACCCATTTACAAAAAAGGCAGGAAGGAGGATCCTGGTAATTACAGGCCAGTTAGCCTGACCTCAGTACCAATAAGATAATGGAATAGTTCATACTTAGTGCTATCACACAGCACTTACAAGATGGCTAGGGTATCAGACCCAGTCAGCATGGGTTTACAAAAGGTAGGTCATGTCTGACCAACCTGGTCTCCTTCTATGACCAGGTGACTTGTCTGGTAGATGCAGGAAAGGCTGTAGATGTTGTCTATTTAGATTTTAGGAAGGCCTTTGATACTGTTGCCCATAGCACACTCCTGGAAAAGCTGGCAGCCCATGGCTTGGATGGGAGCACCCTTTGCTGCGTTAGGAACTGGCTGCATGGCCAGGCCCAGAGAGTGGTGGTGAACAGTGCTGCATCCAGCTGGGGACAGTCACCAGTGGTGTCCCTCAGGGGTCTGTGCTGGGACCAGTTCTATTTAATATTTTTATAGATGACAGGGATGAGGGCATTGAATCCTTCATTAGTAAATGTGCAGATGACACTAAGCTGGGAGCTTGTGTTGATCTGTTGGAAGGAAGGAGGGCTCTGCAGAGAGATTTGGATTGATTGGACAGATGGGCAGAGTCCAACAACATGAATAAGTCTGAGTGCCGAATTCTGCATTTTGGACACAAAAATCCCCTACAGTGTTGCAGGTTGGGGACAGTATGGCTGGACAGTGTCCAGGCAGAAAGGGACCTGGGGGTGATGGTTGACAGCTGGTTGTATATGAACCAAGAAGTGGCCAAGAAGGCCAATGGCATCCTGGCCTGCATTAGGAATTGTGTGACCAGCAGGAGTAGGAAGGTCATTCTTCTCCTATACTTGATGCTGGTGAGATCACATCTTGAGTACTGTGTCCAGTTCTGGGCCCCTCAGTTCAGGAATGACACAGAGATGCTTGAGTGCGTCCAGAGGAGGGCAATGAGGCTGGTGAGGGGCTTGGAACACAAGCCCTACGAGGAACGTTTGAGCGAGTTGGGGTTGTTTAGCCTGGAGAAGAGGAGGCTTAACGGTGACCTTATTGCTCTCTACAATTTCCTGAAGGGAGGTTATAGACAGGTGGGGGTTGATCTCTTCCACCAGGCAGCAACTGGCAGAACAAGAAGACACAGTCTCAAGCTACATCAGAGAAGGTTTAGGTTGGATATTAGGAAAAAAAAATTCACTGAAAGAATAATAAAATACTGGAATTGTCTTCCTAGGGAGGTGGTGGAATCACCATCTCTGGATATGTTTAAAAAAAGACTGGACTTGGCACTTGGTGCTATAGTCTAGTTGTGGTGTTAGGGCATAGGGTGGACTTGATCTTAGAGGTCTCTTCCAACCTCATTATTATTCTGTGACCTGTCCCAGATTACCACCTTACACCTGAGGAAGTGCAGTGTAACTCAGCAAAGTCATTTGTCACAAAATTCCTAACTTTTTTTTCAGAAGTAAATATAAGGGAATTGCTCCCATTGATCACACTGAACTGTCAGTCAGGTTTTACAAACTGAAAGGCACAGGCAAAATATTCAGGTCAGTTGGGCAGCACAAGAATTATGGATTTGTTGTATTAATGAAATAAAATCAGACATCAAATAAACACAGAGCTCACCTCTGCCACTTAGAAGAATCTTGCTAGTATTTTGTCATACTCTAGGTATATTTTCCTCTGCATTAACCTCCATCTCATCCTTTTCCAGTTAAGAGTTCTTGAGTTCTTATCTGATTCCTGGGTATTAAAAAAGAAAATAGATAGAAATATCCCTGATATTTAATCTTTTTTTTTTAATCACTTGAGTACAAGGAAATAGGAGAACTAAATAGTCATAGTGGTGGTGATTCTGCTGTCAGTATGATATCTTTTTCAAATGTTATCTGGACAAACTTAAGAATTCTGAAGAGAACTTTCTGAGAAATAGAAACCAATAATTTTTGTTAATTCAGCATTCTTAACTCTAAAAAAGAAATTCTGGAGATAAAATGAAGTTCTTTCTTTAGGTTCAAAGTTTCCTCTGATAACTGAAGCCATCACTTATTGATTTCAAAATCCATTGAAAAAAAAAAATAGAGGTTCTGGAGCTTCTCCAAATGGAATGCAGTTATATGAAGGTACTTTATTAAAGGATTGACTTTTCAGAGTCAGATGGTCAAGTAGTTGAGTAGAAAATGTTCCAGATACCCTTTTAATCTTTATTAAAGAGTATTCTTGATTAATATTCTTCTTAACATACTTAAATTAGAGATGCATTTCTGAGCATCTCTGATGTTTCAGAATGCTTTTTGTCTTTTACTGACAAATGTAATTCTCATCCCTTTGAGAGGACTGGTGCAGCTCTGTGAAAGGGTTATTAATGTGGATCTGTGATCTGTTCCCACCATTAAGGATCTTGAAAAGAACAGAGCTGTACTGGGTGACTGGAATAAAGTCCATTAGCATTGCTGAAAGAATAGTTTATTCAAGTATGTCATAGATAATGTAATATCTGGATGTATAAATTTTATTTAAATATTTACTACAAAATTAATTTTGCATAATTAGAGATAAAAGCTGGACAATGAACAGCAAGCAGTTAGCACCACACAGGCCTGTTATATCACCTAATCCCTACAGGACGCCTTTTATATATATATATTTTTTAGCAAATTTGTCTTTTAAAACCCTATTTATGCTGCTGAATGGTAATACTCCTTTTGCAGACTTGGGAACCCAAGGTTTGTCTATTTAGCAAAATTTCTGTAGTTAACGATTCAGCAGAGATGTGCTTAATTTGGTATAAAATTGCTCTTTTTTGTTATGCTTGCAGCTATTTTCCTATAGAGATAAGAGAAACAGAAAGGTGATCTTATACTGAGTAAGAATTTGCACTCAAGAGCCATGCAAAGTGTTTATTTAAACATCACAGACTGATTACTGTGTTCATATTTACAGCTTTCTTTATCTTTCTGTCAGATAGAAGGTCTTCAGAGCAGGACCTACCTTCTGTTAGAAATAACAGTAGAGAAAAAAATCTGCTTCTGCCTGGAGAGAGTAGTAGGTTCAGTTTTCTTGTTAGAGGAGAATTGTGACAGATGTGATTCCAAACCCCAAGAGTACAGGGAAGAGAGCAGAAAGCTGTGGATTGCAGACTGTCTATCAAGTACTGGCCCATGCCTGACTGCCGAAATCATCAATGACTCTATAACCAGGAGCACATGGCTTTATTCTGCCTTTCTTGAGCTTCTCTTGTAGGTTTTCAGTGATTATTTTATTGTTTCAACAGGTACTGCAATGGCTGCAGGAGTTTTGCTGCAAAATGAGCAACCATACTCCTCGCTGATAGAGAGCAGTGTGTATCTGGCAAATATGAGTTCAGGTAAGAATTTGGCTCTGATGTGCTGTTCATAATAAATGCTTAGAACAATTCTGGAAAAAAACCCCACAAAATTTTAAAAAATCCAGAAATATTATCCATGTTTATAAATGTAAAATGTCTCTAACGAAACCAAACTGCATTATTTTATCAACATATCATGGTGATAATATGTTGATCTTTTCTGTAACTTTCATTTTGTCAGATCTCTTAATCTTAGTCTTAAGAAACTGCCTAGCTCTCTGAAAATACAAACCTATCTTCAACAAAACTCCCCTTTCTAATGATTTAAACTTATACAGGATGCAATTCTTTCTTACCATTTTGGTGAGTGTTTGTAAATCTGCTAGATTCAGTAGGAAAATAATGATGTGTAGCCTTTTATTTTCCTCACTTCTGTCTCCACTATCATTTGATACATACTGAAAAGTTTCTGGGAAGAGAAAGAGAAAAATAATTAAATACAAGAAAGGAATGTCGTTAACTAGAAAACATTTTTAACATTTCTTGGATACAGGTAGTACTTGAAATAGCCTTTTTCTTCTCCTTTCTCTTCCAACCCCCAAAATAACAGAATATTTACATGTTTCCTCACCTGTTGATATCAGCTCCACTAATGAATGAAGAGGCAAGGTTTTGAACATTTTCCTTTCCTCACATGATATCACTGCTGATATTTCAGGCCTGGTACCCACAGCAAACATTGCCACATCTCTGTAAGAGCTGGGTAGCAGCAGCCAAAGTTCAGGCCCCCAGTTCCTGGAAGAAGCATATTTTTGCCTGGTGAATTTGTCCCAGAAGGGAACTTCTTCTTATGCAAATTCTTCTGTAAAAGTTACTTGTTTTGTGGTACAAGAAGAAACACAAATGTCTTTTAGGAAAATGCAATGGGATTAATTTGTTCATTGACAAAGTTAAAGTGTATTTTCTTGATTTTCCCAGCCTTCCCCTTTCAGTGCAGTCTGATGCACATCCATTTGGATGAGAGAGGCTTTTTACATCACTATAATCCATTCTGTACTTTTTCAAGTCACTTTTTCAAGTGCTGCAATCTTTCCGGCCACCTCATTCTCCTGTTCAGCACACTGGAAGCAAAGTGGGAGGCAATTTGCCACCTCATACGTACATTCAGAAGCCTGAAGCACTCAGCTGACACACCTCCTCCTAGTGATCTGATTTCTGTCAGGCTGCAGGGTTAACAGCTTTGCTTCATAAAAAAGCTGTGCCCTGGAAAAAAAAACAACCCAGCCTTTTGTTTTGGATAACAAAATTGTGTTTTGTTAGAAGATGTGAATGGTCCAGGCAAACAGTCTACAATTCATCATGTACTGAAGCATTTCAGCAGGAATACACTAATCCCAGTCATTACACAGCTAATGATGCATTTTGGAGCAGCAAAGTGGAGGAGGAGAGGTGGCTGTGGAATGAAGAACCAAGAGGTGGGGGAGTATAATGTGCTTCCTTACAGATCTCTCAGGAGGCAGAGCCTCCAGCTACATTTTGATTGTTCTGTTGAATGGAGTATTTTGTGTCTTAGCGAGTTCTGAATGCCTGTTATTGAGCAGGAACTAAATACTCCCATTGTTTATGACAAACATTTTGGTTGTTCCCAGCGCGTTTTGAAAATTACCTACTTGACATGCAACTATTTTCATCAAGCAGTGGAACAGTTTGTCCCGAGCAGACGCAATCCCTGTGGAAAGGAGCAGCCCGGGGCTGGCTGGCAGCAGCGCCTGCATCCTCCGTTACCATGGCGACAGCTCAGCCCGGGCACCAGCTGCCGAGCGTGCTCGGGGATGCTCCGCTCCGCTCCCGCAACTTCAGCGCTGAGCAACTTCCCCTGCGCTCAGAGCGCCCCGGGCAGCGGTGCCGGGCGGAACTGGGGCCGCGCAGCCATGCAGCCTTCCCCCCGCAGGCGCTCGGCCGTCAGCATCTTTAGCCATTTCTTCCAGGGGCGGAGGCATTCCTCCTCCGATCCCCTTCTTCGCCTCAGCCAGCGGCGCCGCAGCTCCGTGGTGGAGCTGCTCTCCTCGTCCACGCACCGGGTCATGGTGGCTCTGTCGTCGCTCAGCCCCGAGGAGCTAGATGCAACTTTTCCTGAAAAAGAAAGTAAAGTACTTTTCATTGAGACTATGGCAGTTCTGGGTATTTTCTCAGTATTACTATACTTTGGTTCTGTTAACTTTTGTTTTGTTCTGTACTTTTTTTTTTTGTGTGTGGATAAAATAGTAGGGTTTAATTTTCTTCTTGTATTTTGTATATTCTGTTTTGTTCACTGATTCCTGATTCAGGTGTTAATGCATGTTTTTTACTCTAACAGCTCAGTCATAAACAACAGGTAAAACAGAAGCACACATTCATGCATGCTCTGAGGACATGGTTAACTATATTGGATTTCAGGTTGGAGAGGACTCTGACTTTTTTCGGCTGTGAAGGATGTCACTTAACCTCTAACTTCATCAGAAGAAAATACCTGGCAGTAATGCAAGCAATTTTTTCCCCTCAGAATCCTTCCTTGAACAACAAGCCTGAAATACATATTGCATGTATTTATGGTGTTTGTGACTGCGTCATAAGGCTGAAGTGGTATTTTTCAGTGAGCTCTTGGCTAATGTGGCTCTGCCTGTGTCACAGGGACCACGAGGCGCCCCACGGCCAAGTACACGAAGGTGGGGGAGCGGCTGCGCCACGTCATCCCTGGGCACATGCAGTGCTCCATGGCCTGCGGTGGCCGTGCCTGCAAATACGAGAACCCCGCGCGCTGGGCCGAGCACGAGCAGGCAATCAAGGGGCTCTACTCCTCCTGGTGAGCAGCTCAATGCAGCAAAATAGCTGGGCTTGTTGAAAATCAGCTGCTAAGTGTAAAATATAATGAGAATTTTATCTGGAATTAGAACTTGATGTAGTGGCTATCACACACAGCCCAGGAAAGTAAAGGTTCCTCTTGACTTACAGTGGGTTTTGTTCAGATACAAAAGAATAAATACCTGTCTGTCATGAATTATTAAAAAGCTGTTCTGGGCTACTAAGGTTTAAGATGTAAAGGAATTAAATATGTCAATAATGAAATTGAAAAGTAAAAGCATTTCATGCAGATGAAATAATGTGGGCATGTGTTCAGAAGGATGTTCATGTGCAGGGAAAGTCACATGAAATGTCTCTTGACATTCTTACTGTTTTTTTTCTAACAGCAAATGCTTAAGCAGCATTTACAAACCTTAAAGGGACAAACAGGGATCTGGGTCCAGATTTCTGTACAAAGGAATTTTTACTTATGTCCTGGCATTTAAGCAGTTCTAGTCTTTTGATAATGTTCAATCTGTATCAGTTTAATAGGATTTATCACTAGCACTATGGCATAGTAGAATTTTTAAAAGTAATTTCTAACTAATCACCAAGGTATTTCTCTCTTTCTTGAATATAACAGTATTCTTACTTTGGAAGACTCATAACCAAAGAATTATTAATGATAACATTATTAGTTACTTTTCTAATTTCTCAGGATAACAGATAACATCCTGGCTATGGCTCGACCCTCAACAGAAGTAATTGAAAAGTACAACATTATTGAGCAGTTTGAAAGGTAAAAAATTTAGTTGCTATTTATTGTAAGTATTACTGGTGTAATTCCTGATCCATTTTCTCTTTCAACATAGATTTGGATTGTTGATAAAGATCCTTTCATTTTAACGCTCTACAGGTAAAGATTTATTCTCCACTAAGAATAAATATGTGTTTCAGAAAATAAGGGACAATGAGATTTTGGCTGCCTATAATACTTTGACTCATTATTCCTTCCTTAAGATGTGGCATAAAAACCATAATTAACCTTCAGCGTCCTGGGGAGCATGCGAGCTGTGGGAACCCCCTGGAGCAGGAGAGTGGCTTCACCTACCTTCCTGAAGCCTTTATGGAGGCTGGCAGTAAGTTCCCTCCTGCTGTTGTTCCTCATTAATTATTGACTTTGGCATTTCAAGATATTTTTACTTGAATTCCTGTGAGTTAAACACAGCTATGTAAGGAAACATCGCACAAAATGTGAAACCTGGCAAATACAATGAAGAGCAAATAACACATTATTGAAGATTGTATATTATACAGAGAGAGATGGAGGGTTTGTGTTCAGGTGTTTCTAAAGAAAGGACAGCAGTTCCTTTTTTCTTCTGTATTCACAAATTCTGGTACACTCATGTCTTCTTACCAAGACTATAAAAAGTAATTTCATTATGAGGACACTGCTCCTGACAGTATTTTTGTATTTTCATATTATAGTGAGAAGAGAGAAAGTGCCTCTCTGTAAAAAGCAGCTGCTGACTGAAGAAGTGCTTTTATTTCTGAAAAGAAAAAATTGCCCTTTCTGTATATAGCTGTGTAATTTTGCATGAATCACTGTTTTGTTACATCTTTTACATTTTAACTTAACTTGAGTTTGACAAATCTTTGCTAACTTCGTGTATCTATCAAGTTTCAATAGCAAGCATACACTGAAATAGGAAAATAATCTCTTGCAAACAAGATGTAGTCAGATTTTAAGCTCCATTATGCAATTTTAGTACTATAATTTCTTATTAGTAATCTCTCCTCTGCAAATAGTACTACACCTTTCACAAACGGTGTGGCAGAAAAATCACTGTCTCTCTTTTTATTTCAGTTTATTTTTATAATTTTGGATGGAAGGATTATGGAGTGGCATCTCTCACAACTATCCTTGACATGGTAAAGGTGATGTCTTTCGCCCTGCAGGAGGGGAGGGTGGCTGTTCACTGCCACGCAGGACTTGGGAGGACAGGTATGTGTCCCATGCAGGGGCAGCACCAGAGTTCCTCTAGAGACTCCAACCATCTCTGGTTATAAAACAGTAGTAACTGGGCTAGAATTCTGTGTCATTGCAAGATGGACCTCTATAAAATGGTTACAAGTGCTAAACGACTGTGTCCAAATATCCTCAACAGTTAGAGAAAATCAGTTTTAGTATATTAAAACCAAAAACCTGTAAGATAGAAAAAGTTTTTAATCTGTATAATCATTCCATTACAATCAAATGTGACAGCTGCTTTTGGAGGGGAAAATTCTCCTGGTACACTTTCATTGTCCAGTATTTATAGCAAGTTCATAAACCTGCCACTCACTGTTGGATTGTATAGATTTGGTGGAGCGCCTAAAATTTCATTTGCTTCTTTCAAGTCCTTTTTGGTTGTGTCCTTTGCTTAGAAGCCCCCATTGCTCCCAAGTTTGTGAATGGTGGAACTCCTGGAGAGGCTGTGGGGAGCTCCCCTTGCAGTACAGTGAGCAGGGCTTCACTGTCTTGTGCTTCTTCACAGGCAATTACATTTACGTAACAGCATCACATAATAGAGGACACTCTGCCTTCACCTATATTAATTTCTATCCCGTGTTTCCCCTGAGTATTTGTTTGAGTCTGACAGTTCCTTCACTAATCCTGTCTTTGTATTTTCCAGGTGTTTTAATAGCTTGCTACTTAGTTTTTGCCACCAGAATGAGTGCTGACCAAGCGATTCTGTTTGTCAGAGCCAAAAGGCCCAATTCCATCCAGACCCGGGGGCAGCTGCTGTGTGTCAGGGAGTTCTCCCAGTTCCTGGTCCCTCTCCGTAATGTCTTTGCGTGCTGCGAGCCCAAGGCACACGCAGTCACCCTGTCCCAGTACCTGACCCGCCAGAGGCACCTGCTCCATGGCTTAGAGAGCAGGCACCTCAAGCACGTCCCAAAACTCATCCACCTGGTGTGTAAGCTGCTGCTGGACCTGGCTGAGAACAGACAGGTGGTAGAAGCAGAGCTGCTGGACATCCCAGACCTCTCAGCTGAGATTGAGAAGACCATGTCCCAGCTGGCATCCATGGAGCTCAAGCAGGAACTGGCCAGGCATGATAGCGACACATCAGACTCATCCCACACCCACTCCTCTGCTCTCGACAGCCAGGACTCACACTTCTCCCTGGGACACGAAAGTGATGATTTCTGTAAAAGAAGGAATGTGGAATGCCTTCAGCCTCTTACTCATCTGAAAAGGCGTTTGAGCTACAGTGAGTCAGACCTAAGGAGAACTGAGTTTCTTTTGGAACAGGATGACACTGCCTGGACAGTGCCTGCTCAGATCTTAGTGAACAACAAACCCAAGCAGAACAGTGGGGAGGAATGTTCTGTAATAGGTGAGGCAAAGCCACAGCTGGAATTAAACAAAGAAGCATTAGTGCGTAACACATGCATGTTCTCGAGTCAAAGGAGATTTCATTTGGATGGACAAAGGGGTGGCTCCTATGACAGAAGGAGCTCTATCAAAGAAGTACAACGCAGCAAGACCTTTTCCTCAGGCCTTGCGTCCATGCACAATCCCAAGGAACCTGGAATGCCAAGGCACAGCTTTGCCAACGAGACTGTTCACTGGAAGGACCACAAGACCAATATATATGGCAGGAGAGTCTATCTCTCTGAGGATTCTGACTCTTCTTCCTCTTCCAAAGTGAGCTTTTCCATTGGATATGAAAGCAAGAGTGGCAGAGAGCTGTCAGAGACAATTCCACACATTGTTCTGCAGTCAGAATTAAGTTTGGAAGCTCGAAGAATTTTGGCAGCCAAAGCACTTGCAGATCTAAATGAATTTCTGGGAGAGGATGAAGTGAAGCAGAAGGTAGAAATGTGGCAGGTAATTTTTAACTCAAATCTATGCTATGGGCTCTGCATATTTCACCTCAGTGAATTTCTGGAATGGCAAAAATGCCACGTGGAGCTCTGAAATGGTACACTGGGATAGCAGTTTATATGAGGTCCAGGGTCAGGTCTTTCACAGGCTAGCAAAATGCACCTACACATTCTGGTCTGTAGCAGGAGGGTGGAGGTTCTGGTTATGTTCACTTTTCTAACTGGGGGAAATTGATGGCATTATTTCTGGTTGTAATGTGGCTGCTGGTAGCACCGAAATAGTACAGGTTTTAAAGGTTTGAGTTAGTTTTCGTGTTTTTTCAGAACTAATCAGAGGATTTATGAGTAAAAGAAAAAGAATTTAATAGAAACTTAATTGTTTATCATCAAACCCAAATCCTCTTAGCAACATTTGGTTTGAAGCTGTAATGCAAAACTGGTTTATGTATTCCAGTGGAGTACTGGGAGGTTCTCAGCTGCACTGCTTCTGTCATCCTTCTGTTTTAAAGAATCACTTGTATTACTGCTGATTAATGTTGATACTCTGGGAAAAAAATATACATTTTTTTGATATCTCTTTTCTTGTTGAAACAAAGCAAATGTTGGCAAAGGTAAATAGATGATGCATCTCTTGTTTTGTTTGTTTGGGTTTTTTGTTTTGTTTTAAGAAAGAACTGAATTCTCAAGATGGAGCTTGGGATAAAATCTGCACCGAGAGAGATCCTTTTATCCTCTGCAGCTTGATGTGGTCATGGATAGAGCAGCTGAAAGAACCTATTATATCCAAAGATGATATTGACATGCTGGCAAAAAATTGCACGGAATCCCAGGATGCGCTCTACTTGCTGAGAAAGGTACATATTGGGTCTGACAATTCATTCTTTCACTTTAGGCAAAGGTTCCACTTTAAAAAAACCACTTAATTATCTTTCAAACTCAGAATGAGAATTCATTCTACATCAAATTGTGTGACTTGTCAGGGTACCTCTAGGTATCTTCTAGTCCAAGTGTCTTGCTCAAAACAGAGCTGCCTAGAGCAGGCTGCTTATGTGACAAATGCTCCAGCCCCTTAATTAAGCTGGAAAAGGGTTAGGATGGAACAGCCACAAAGATTGCTCCTCCCTTTCTTCCTCCTTGCTAGCACTGCTCAGTTGTTTCTCTGCCAGCTTCCATCATTGTTTCTCTGCCAGCTTCCAGTGGTGATGGAGAGTTGGAAGAACAGAGAGAGGTACAAGATGGGGGAAAAAGCCCTGAACATGCACAGCATTTTGGGCTGAAAAGATAAAATCTCACTTTTCCAATGCCAATTCACAGGAAGTCTACTGTTCGTGGAGGGGATCTTGGGATTTCCAGAGTAGTTGGTGGCACTCAGAAGAGTTTTCCCATCATGATTGAAATTATTACGCAGAGGCTCTTTGGGCTGGTGGGAATTCCCCACCAACTCCTGCACATGAAGGTTTCGGCACAGGAAGGCACTGGTGTTTAAACAGCAGTTAACAAAATCTTAGTGCTAAACTGCTTTTTGTGGAAATAATACTTCTGATGAGCTGCTGTTCTTTTTCCCACCAGGAGCAGTGTCAGACCATCGTTTGTATTTTACATTGTGTGGTGAACCTGCAAGTGCTGCCAGCTGATGTGGAGGAGGCCTTACTTGCTCGTGCTATTAAAGCTTTCACCAAGGCAAGTAATCCCAAATAACTATCCAAGATATTGTATTTACTTGGTTTAAATCATGAAGGGTGAATCAATGAACAAAGGGAGGCCTCTGTGAGAAAGGCTACAGTAATTCCTTCATGCTTCAGTGTGAAGTTTATTTATTTCAGGGTTTACATTTTATAATAATCCCATACATAAAGGGTTGGAAATATTCTCAACAAAATTCAATTCTGTCACTACAACCTTAATCCTGGAGTCTCATTTTCCTCTTTCTGGACCACTGCCAGTTCATGGATATATTCAAATTAGGGAAAAGATAATTTTACAGGGTGATACTGACTAATCACCTAGAGTAGCTCACCAAAGTCTTTGGTAGATTCTGTACCATGTGACTTCTTTCCATCAGATTAAATAATTTTCTGAAATTACACTGAAAGTCAGTTCTGTTCCAGGCCTGTACTACAGGATGTCAGTAACTAATTTCTGCTTTAGGCTTATTCAGTAACAGTGACAAGGTGAAGCTATTGTTCAGCTCAGATTTCTTCTCAGATTCAGTCAATGAAATCTGAGCTTGAACAGAATGTTCACTGTGCTGCTTCCTCATCTCTTGTAAATCTGCCTGTGAAAACAATCACCACATTTCTCTTTCTTCTGTTTTATTTTAATGTCTAGTTAGCATAAAATGGAAACCACTTAGCATTATGCATTCCATCAAAAACACATCTTTTTTTGATAAATCTCAAAGCTTTTTTTTTTTAATGTTGTGCATCTACTTTGCATTTTACTGTATGGCATCTCTTTAACAACTGAACTGAAACGTTTCTTTCTTATTAGACAAGCTTCAATTCTGAGAATGGGCCATATGTTTACAATACCTTGAAAACTGTATTTAAACAAACACTGGAAGAAAAAAGGAAAAGGATTAAAGAGGGAACAGAGAATCCTTGATTTCTACACAGCTCTGCCGAAGCATTAGATGGGTTTACCAAATTATTTTGCATTTTCCAGCTACTGTATTTTGTGCTACCTGGCATGATCTACCTAACTTTAGGTAATAGAAGTTATTAACAAATAATTTTATTTTTTTAGAGGAAGTTTAAGTGGCAGTTGTTCAGTCTACATAGTTTTAAAGAATGGCTCCCTGTGACCATTCTCTGTAGCATTTTGTTTCAGGTACTGTTCTTTTATGTTGTCAAGGGTTCTGCTGTTCTCAGCTGTGTTTATTGATTTGGAATCCTCTGTTACTGGCAAGAAACATTATTGTCAAGTTACATGACTGCCGTAAGTTCAGTGCCATGGTCCCCAAAAGTTTAATAGATTAATATTTATGTATTACATATGTTTACATTAATGATCTTTGATTTCACTTTGCAGAAAATAAATATTGACTGAACCTGTAAAACTGCTTTTCCTTTCAGAAATTTTAAAGTACGACCAACAGTAATAATGACACAGATTGACACAGATCTTAACAGATAATAAGATCTGTTATTGACAGCAGAGAGTATTTTCCTTCAGATCTCTTAAATACTTGTAACCAGAGTATTCATATAACGTGTTCCAGGAGAGAAATGCACTGTGTTGAGCAGTAGTCATCAAGCCCTAATACAGACTTTTTTGGATGAGAAAGCTTCAAACTGTTTTTAACAGACAATTGATTGAATAAGAGTTAAATTTTACTTTATTAGCTAAGCTATTATTGCCTTAAGTGAAAAAAGACACTTATTCATGAAATCTTCATAAGGATATGATTCTGCCTACACTTACATCCAGCAAATACTTACATGAAAAAGTACGATATAATCATACTAATAAAATATTAATCAAAACCTTACTAGCTGCAATACACTTTGCTGAAGCATTTTTGTCTACTAAAACAGAAAATGCTGGGCCACCATCCTAACAAAATTTTGGATTCCAGCCTTAGGATCTGTACTGGGATGCCAGTTTGCAGAATGAGTGGTTCATCTAGTTTGATAGATTTAAGCAATTAAACAAGAATCTATCAATTTCCAAAATATTTTTATTAGTTTCTGTAAATGACTAACATTTAGAGTTAAAAACAGACCAGTTTGAAATACAGATAATTTATATACACCTCAACTATTGGATGATTTTATATCAAATTAAAATTAAAACAGATACTTTGGCAGAATCATATTAAAATAGGCACACATGAAAGGAAAATTTCACATGTGAATGACAAACACAAATCCAGCTTTGCAAAGAGGCAAGGCAACACAACAGGCAGTTCTGTGTTAGCATTAGCAGTCAGGCTCAAACAAATCCCATTTTCTAATCTATGGAATGCCCCTTCTTCAGTGCCTGCTCTGGTGCTCTGCCATCTCACACACCAGAGTGTGATTCACATACTGCAGCCCAGTGTTAGGTTTTTGAACATTGAAATGGGTGTGGTCAACAGGATTGCTGGGGATCAATCGCTACATAATTAACAAAATGTGTGCACCATCCCAGGCTGGACTTAAAGAGGCACAGGAATTTAGGACGATGAAGACAAGATAGCAGAGAACAATGTAAAAATTGTCTGAAAATAAAAGGAGGAAAGGCTAAAGGAGTGATTTGTGCACATTTGGGGGTTTATTTTTCTTGGGTGCAAAGCAAAATCAAAAGTCCCTAAACGCCCAAAAGATTGGAAATGTGAAATGTCCTCCACAGCAGATCATCGGACCTCTGGATCCTTAAAACAATTTTATTGTGCTGGAACAGTGGCAGTTTGAGCTGGTGCCTCTGGGGGACCCTGAACAAAGAACCTCTGGACAATTATACCCTCCCAGATGAAGTGTGATAGTCTGGGGCCTTCCTGCTGTGTCCAAGTGGCCGGTCACCAGCTGGCAGCACAGGTCCCCAGGTCCTCTGCTGAGCCGTCCCTCTCCTTCAGCCAAGTTTAGTCTGTCACATTTGGCTTTTCTCCCTGATCCACCACCAGGACCACAAGAGCACATCGTCCTGAGGATGTAAAAATGCCCCCCGATGGAGGCAGGGCCGCGGCTGTGGCCCCTGGGCTCGGGGTGCCGCCTGCCCGGCGCTCAGCACCGCCCGTGCCGTGCCCGTGCAGCGCGACCCAGCGGGGCAGCTCCGCCTCGGCCCCTCGCCACAGCCGTCCCGGCACGGCGGCTGCCCCTGGGCCGCGGCAGCCCCGAGCCGGACGGGCCCGGCAGGGAACCCGGGAGGGCTCCGTCCCCTGCAAGCCTCACAAGAGACTCCAGCCCCACTGCGTGCAGCAGGAGGGACGCAAAGCACCGGCACGCTTAGGAGAGCCCACAGCCCTCTCCACACCTGAAATGAGGCCCCAAAACCCCATCCTGTGCTCAGCAGACCCTCGGCACCCTGCACACCTTGGGAGATCCCATCCCCTCCATGCCTCACATGGGATTCCAAAGCTCATGCATGACTTCAACTGGACCCCAGTGCGCTCCATGCCTCAGAGGGAACCTAAAATATCCCTGTGTGTCTCACAAGGGACCCTAGCGCCTGGTGGACCTTATGGGGTCTCCAAAGCCCCCACGTGCCTTATGGGGAATCCCGGGCCAGATCTGCCAAGTGCTTTGTCCTGGAAATCAAGTGTGGTTGCAGCTGGGTTGTTGTGCCTCTGGGGCTGTTCATCTTTCCCATCAGGCCTTAAGGC